TCTTCACAACAAATCGCTACGCAGCCATGTCACCGTCATCCTTCAGGACGTGCTCAAATTCAAAGGTACACAACCTCACATCAGAAACCGCCATGTATCAACTCACTTTGCTAAATTGTAGTCGACTATGCAATCAACTTAATGAAGTTATCCTACCGCTTAGTTAAGAGCACAAATATTTATGCAAAGATTGATAGCTAAGAGCATTCTAGCGTGGAAAAAAAAAAGTAGATTGCTATTTATCTAAGCCGACATCTGGCGCTGGGGGAACCCTCAGTAATGTGCGGGCTGCTAACCTACTTTGGGCCCACGGCCCCAGTCCAGGACGGTGCAATAGAAAACCTGTCGTCTGGTACTCACACTGGCGTGCCATCTGACCTGCTAACGAGAAGCGCCACAGGCTAGGCAAGTGCCGCTGACCTGAACTACACCGTGTTTGCATCTACTGACCTACTTCTTGCTAATGCAATGCTAACACTGCAGCATCCTTTCTGGACGACGTGCGGTAAATATCAGAAATCATTAACACATTTTTTGGGGGAGCTGTCTTTTCACATTTTATTGTTGACCTTGTGCATGAATCAGAATATGAAAGTGGATTGTTGTACCTGTCGAGAAGTGTGCTTTGAAGAAAAGAAAAAAACCTGACATTGACAGCAATGATTATTTTGCTTTTTTTTTAAAAAATTTCATTAAAAACGGAATAATTATAAAATAAAAATCTAACATGCTTTATTTTTAGCACAATCTAACATTTTCAATTTACAACCACATTTTAAATGTGAACGTAGGGAGAGGTTGCTAATAAAAAAACAAAGTGGCCCATGTGCAATAAATCCCTCCGCCCCCGCCACACACACACACACACACACACACACACACACACACACACACACACACACACACACACACACACACACATTAACTGGCTGCAACATCCATCTGCTGGGAAATACACAGGAAATCATGAATTCCGATTGATGGAGCAACGGGGAAGAGAGAGTGGCAAGCCCGCGTCTATACATCTAACCGGTGTTGTGTAGAGAAAGCTCTGGAAGAGGGCCAGGCCTTGTGAAGTGATCACAGAAGCAGCAGTGAGAAAACGCCACAGGATAGCTCTATTTCAGCCGTAAACATAGAGGCGGGGTCACGTCCGCAGCACGGGCTGTGTTTGAGTTGCCACCTCCTACACACTCATGCATTAAATATGGTTCAACAATCACATTCTCCGGTGACTGCTTAAAAAAAAAAAAAAAAAAAAAAAAATCACTTCCCACCCTCCAGCTGAATATCAGGAGGAATTCCAACCAGGAATGTGTTCATGATGACAGAGCGACAGTTGAGAGGAATCTCGCTTCCTAATGAGTGGAGCAGAATAACGTCACCTTGCCTTTTCTCACAGCAATTCAATACATATTGTGTGCCCTATATTACCCACCCATCCATCCATTTTCTAATCCGCTTATCCTTACAAGGGTCGCGGGCGTGCTTATCCCAGCTGTCTTCGGGCAGTCGGCGGGTTACACCCTGAAATGGTTACCAGCCAATCGTAGCGCACACAACCATTCACGCTCACAATCACACCTAGGGACAATATGGAGTGTCCAATCAACCTGCCATGAATGTTTTTGGAATGTGGGAGGAAACCGGAATACCCCGAAAAAACCCACGCAGGCATGGAAAGAACATGCAAGCTCCACACAGGAAGGTCAGAGCCGAAATCGAACCCAACACCGTGAGGCAGACGTGCTAACCAGTCGGCCGCCGTGCCGCCCGCACTATATTACAGTTATCACGATTGCACGACTTTTTCGTACGAAATTCTATGGAATTAAGTTGACAGCAAAACAAGTACGAACTCGATCCAGCCATTTTTGAGACAACTTCTTCTCATTTGGTCCACAGGTGAGCTGAAATTGGACGAGCTGAATTTGGACGAGAGGCGGGGTGCGGGCTGCGCTGGCTTGTAGCCAGTTTACAGGGGAAATATGGTCAACATTCCCAGTCACCTGTGGGCAATTTATAGGCCTCAATAAACCTAACATGTATGTTTTGGGAAATTGGGAGGAAGCTGGAGTACCTTGAGAAAAAAAAAAATGAAACCCTCAAGCGCGGTGTGAACACGAAAACTGCACATCGGAGTGCCTGAGCTGAGATTCACACTGTGAACCTCTCAACTGTGAAAGAGTCGTGCTAACCACTCGAACAACATGCTGCACATGAAGTTAATCAACACCCAACAAAATGTGACTGCCGATGACCAAAGTCACAAACAACTACTTATATAATTATTGCAAATGAATTCCCTTGTTCTGAGCTTCATGCAGCTCGTGTACAAAAACCCTCAACTTCCTCACTGACGGAACATTGCATGCGGATCTGTACTCGGTGCAGCACTGATTTTCCATGCTTTACGATTTCAATAAAATTAGATTTAGTAGTGCAAGATAGTATGCCTTTGCTCTGGCATTGAGCAAAACATACGTGCGTGCACTCAAAGCACATCTGTTATTTATAGTCGGGACAGGTATACATTAATCCCACTGACAATGCCGCTCATTTCAATTATAGTAAATAGGCTTCGGAAAAGCTTTCCAGCAGAGTTCAATCTCGGTAATATTTCTGGGTCGCATTTTCTATTCAGCAAATTACAGACAAATGCAAATGTCGGTCTCTCCAGGTATAGTTGCAGCCCATGGACGTGTATCTTCAGTAACTGGATTCTCTACTTTTTCAGTGGGAAATATGTAGGGATGGTCGCCTGTCTCTCTCTCCTCACCAGCCACTTTATTCGATACAGCTGCACAATCCGGGATGCATTACCAGAGCTGTTAATAAAAAACAAATCTGCCCCTTGCAAGGATGACAATGCTTAGTTTTGATTGACACGGACACAAAGTATAACAAGATGGTGTGGTTTTAGTTGGAAGTGTTTGGGGCGAAAAACTGCATGACTTCATAGCGGGGGCTGTTTCTAATAGCCAGCTACCTACTGTAGTTGGCTACACGAAGCAAAATATTAGAGCATTACACATTGTGCCATGATACCGATTGTTACATCTCCAGGGTGAGGCTCGAGCAAAATAATGATCACAGATGGATGGCATATTAGCGCTTTCAACAAGTTACAGCGCAATTAAAACGCGTTTTAGCAAAGAATGGTCCAAATAGAGGGTGCATGTTTTGCTACATTTCTTAACCATGCTATTGTGGAGCTCCCACATTAGTCCGAGTCCTACATGGTTCCATTCAGCAGACTTTTACGGTATCACCGAGACAGAGCCTTTTCGCAAATCGCCCTCCCACCCGAGATCCGGAGCCTTAAAGCTATCCGAATCGCAGCTTTCTGCATCCTGCTGAGACAGCGTTGAGTTTCCTTGGTTGCATCACTTGGGGGGGACGTGCCAGATTTGACTTTTATCTCTCCCGCAGTCCGAGTATCCTTGAATTGACCCTGGATATCCAGGAGATGATGTCACAGCAAAGAGAGTGTGGGGGTTTTTCAGCAGCCATATGAATGTCATGACAGGAAGATGCATGGCCAGTGGAGGTTGGCATCGCAAGTCAGCCCTACGTATCGGTTCCATAAAACAAGAATGCAGTGGTATAGCTCCAAATCCAAACACCCCAAAGCATAGGCCTCCAAACTAAACTCCACAACTACACTTTGCTTTCTCTTTATCAGATATACTTGACAGTAAGTTGAAATAATGGGATGACAAGGTCAGATATAATAAGCTTTAATGTGAAGAGAGTCTCCTCCCAGGCACAAGCAGTAATCTGCCGGGGCAACATTGTCCTTCAGTCAAGTTAAAGTATTGAGTCTTGTGTTTTTAAATGTGAATACTGTATACGGTAATTATAATTAGTAAATTATCTTGGGTAAATTTGTTTTTGGATTACATTGTTGAAATAATTGATTTTAAAAATGTTCAACAGTGACAGCTCTATTCCATCCGGTTATCTTCTACATGGCTAGGCCTCATTAGAATTGATGGTGAGATGCATCTATCTCAGCTGACTTTGGGTGAGAGGTTTGGTGACAGCCTGGACTGGTGGACAATCGCAGGGCACATATTGTATAGACGAGCATTCACACTTGTGGATTATGCAGAGTGGGTGTGTCAAAGTCAGGGCTTGGGGGCCAAATTAGGCCTGCCATATCAGTTTAAGTGGCCCGTGAAAGTTAATCATGTGAGCATACTTCGTGGTCCCGATGAACTCTACTGCAAAATTGAAAATTGTTTTCAGTTTTAGTGACACTGAGATACTGCACAACTTTTTTTTTTTTTTTAATGACGAAACCCCCTTTGAAAATAAATTGAATAAGTGTACAAACTATTATTCTTTGGATGTTGTAACGAGTCCATTTTCGATACGGTTTATTCTCATTAGGGTTGCTGGCGTGCTGGAGCGTATATTTAAACTGACTTTCAGGTGACAGACACAGTACACCTTGGGCTGGTCGCCAGGCAGTCACAGGGCAAACATAGACAAACAACCTTTCCCATTCACGTTTTTGGCAGAAAAAAAAATCTCACAAGTATTGGGAGAACATGCAAAGCTCCGCCCAGCAAAGCCGAACCCCCAACCTCAGCACTGTAAGGTGGATGTGCGAACTACTCGCTCATCATGTTGTTCCAAACTATCCAATCCAATTTGTTTTGTATATGCCAATTATATGATTTCACTGTCATAACAGCCCTCTGAAAGAAGCCATCGCTACAATGTGGCCGGAGACAAAAGACAAGTTTGACACTCCTGATGCATAGTCCTCAATGAGTCTAACATGCACGTTGGAAGGAAGCTGGCGACCCCCCCCTCCCCCCTTCTAGGAACTGTGTAGCAAACGTTCTGTCCACCTTTTCAAACTTGACCCAAGAAACCTGGAATCACTCGTCATATCAGTACACACGCCTACAACCACAGCCGTACACTGCCCAAAATGTCAGCTGCGATCCACACAACATCCAGGTCAAGTCCAAGTTAGTAAACCATGACACATTTCTTGTGCAGGGCAGCGAGGATGCTGAGCTGAGGGGCTGCAAGCACCGTTTTGCCTCAACCAATGCGAGGACTGACTCCACTTGCAAATGCGACGAGAAAACAAGTAGGTCACTCATATATTCAACTGAGCAGTCGGTGTCAAAAGCGGCCAGTCCTTAAATTCGGCGAAGAAACCCACTTGAGAGGCTTTGAGATTCTAATGTTAGATCCAAAGCGAGAACAAGCGGTGAAGTGAGCCATTCAAATCCCGCTAAGCACGGGGAGAGGTCGTCCGCAGGCGAAGAGGAGGAGGATGACATGTTTCCAGTCCAAATGTTACCGGACAAAAAGCACCGGACTTCCCCGAACCTTCCAAGGAAAAGAGTGAAGGTGAGTTCCTACCTGCTGTCGGTCCGCGTCTCGTTGGAAGCAAGCGAGCTCACGGCGAGGCGACACACACATCACATCACACGCACACACACACACGCAGAGACACGCGCGCGCGCTCACACGCGTTCACACAGACTCACACAGGGACACACACGCCTGCCTGCTCCTCATCTTCAAGCCCCTCCTCGTCCATCTACACATGCAGAGACGAGGAAGAGGAGCGCGTATATTTGCGTGTCGTTTTAAAAAGACGGATCATCACTGGGGCGATGGGGCGCACGGCAAGATTTCTTCGATCGAAATCTAGTCAAGTTGTGTCACGTGACGCACTCGCATACCCAGACACACACAATTGACTCGGCGTGAAAAATGCACCTGCCAAAACTGTGGCGATCCGCATATAAGATGTAGGAAGTAGAATGTGTCATACCAACATATATGTTTTTTTTTTAATGACCTGCCAAAACTGTGGCGATCCGCATATAAGATGTGACTCCATGCAGGAAGTAGAAGGTGTCATACCAACATATGTTTTTTTTAAAATTTAATCAAATTACAAATTCAAAAACATACAATACTCGTGCGGTTTACAGATTTAATTCGGGGTAACCAATCGAATATATTTGATGTATGTGGATGTCAAACAACATCCTTCCTCTCAGTATAAGCATCGCAGTGGGTGGACAGTGTCACACTAAAAAGGTTGCATACTTCCCCCTGCCGGAGTCGAGTCTGAACTGTCACAGCGTTTTTTTCAGCATCATGAACATTTCATTTGAGCACAGAAAAATAGCAATAATTGATTTTAATTGGATTCTTATCATATTTCAAGGGGCAATTCAACCCAGAAATGTTCTTTACAAAAATATATTGCATTTGTGGAATATGAGTTAAGCAGCAAAATTCACCCGTTTTTATCCATCTCTGGAGGCGGATATTTTAACGGCACCAAGTTGCTCGGCGGTCAGGTAACAATCAAACAATCACGGCTCATCTTCAGAAAACAGGTGAGCCGTGATTGGTCAGGATAATAATGATCAGAATGCCGTGTTTAGGCTAGTGGGGCTGACAAAAACATATTATTGTAAAGAACACTGAATTCCCCTTTAAGAGTTTACATTTTTATTTCAGTATATGATTCAGTAACTTGGAAAACTTTTTGTAGTCATTTGCCCCTCAGTGCACGTTCTTGGTGCTATTTAGACGCCGACTTGCCAATAACAACCAACGTCATCCGCTTGAACCTTGGTCTTTGCCGAGAACAATTGTTGGTCCAATTATCACCTGAGATAGACAACATTTACTTTTCCAACATAATTTCGTTAGTTGTCAATCAGTTTCAAGCTTTTTCTGGAGACTGTGTAGTATAAAATATTAGCACTGCATTAGGAATACCGAGGAGTCTACTGTCAGATTAATTTTAAGACAACCATTATCTGTCTCACCACAAGAGGGCAAGCATTGACAACAGATTTTTTTCCCGTACAGACTAAGCAGTGTTTCCCAACCTTTAGTGACCCAAGTCAAACACTTTACATGAGAAAAAAAAAAAAAACGCATTTTACACTACCAAACAAAATTGCGCGAAAAAGTGGATACAGTGATCTAGTGGAATATCATGTCATTGTTTTACCTGTGAATATAATTGGTGCTATTGAAAGATGAACAAAACTCCCCACTAGGTGCTTCCAAAGTTAATATTGACTCTTCAAATCAGAAGGTCATCCAAGTGCCAGTTTGTACTCCTCAGAGTTTTATCACTTCAAATATATTTTATAAATAATCATAGGTATTCATCAAGTCATGGCCTTATACAGTACCCACAATGTCCGATCGTAACATTTTGGAGCTCTGTTGAGCTTTCGGATGTTTCCTGGGCAACTGGGGGCCGAGGACAGAGGGAGGATCCAGCGAGAGCGCAGGGGGTGTGTTTTACATTCGTTGGTTTCTTGCTTGATTTAACCTGTCTGCCTCCCTCAAACAGACCCAGATGGTCAAACCCGCCGTCTGCTGCCTGAAAGAGACTCTCAGATTTCTCACTGACCGTTTATCTGGAGCTTTTGATCAAATTTGCCCAAGGAAATCTGTATCGTAAGAATACAAGGTAAGGCAATAGTTCCACCAAGTTTTTTTTTAATGCTGGATATATTTATTTTTATAGACGTTGTATGCTGACAATTGTATTCTTTCAGTTGTGGTGACTTTGAAGAACCAGCAAATCTATGTGGGTAGTGGAGAAGATCCGCGTTTCGCTGGAGAGCCCCGCCCTGCCCATGCCATCAACAGAATTCAGCTTCAAGATCAGCGACATCATGTTTGGGGACAAATCGGACAAACACAAAAAAATGTCCCTGTTCCCCAATGTCATCACCCCTGACAACATCCCGGAGTTCTGCATCCCGCCCACCATCCCGTCCCTGCAGGAGCTAAAAAACACGGACCACGGCCGAGCGGTTCGTGTTGCCAAAGCAAGCCACTGTGAGAAGGTTGAGGTGGAGGCGGTGCACCATGAGGCCTTTAACCCGCACATAATCCAGGTGGAGAGCGTGGATGAGGGCCCGTACGATGGCTGTAGCGATGAGGAGACAACAAACGCAGATCCTCAAAGCCAAGCGGCCTTGTCCCTCCCCCACATGGCCAAAGCTCAGACCTGCTACGGCTTTTGCACCTTGCTGGAGAGCCCGCACACCAGGAGGAAGGAGTCTCTCTTCCACTCCGATCCGGGTTCCTCTCCTCTGCTGCTGCCCAGGAGCCGATCCGCCACCTGTTCCAAAGTCACCTCGCCCCCTTTATCCTCTCCTTCCTCCTTCAGCCTCAACAGTCTGTCCTCCCGACTTTCCCCGAGAGGACACAATCTCAACTGGCAGGGAGTTCCGGACAGCGACACGACGTCCTCTACTGAGTCGTCTCCCTTCAGTTCGCCGCTTCTGACCAGATGCCCCGCCAAGTCGTCCCTCTTCAAGGCACTGAGCCATGAACTGCTGCTATCGCGGAACATAAGGAAGGCCATGGTGTCCAGGAATAATTCGCTGTCCACAGATGAAGGCAGCTCGACTGACAACAGTCCCAACGTGATGAGGAGGGCATCGGAGGGCTTAGGTGAGGGCCTCCCCGGCTGCTATCGTCTGGCACCCCCGACTATCTTCCCCATGGATTTGACCCTGCATCGGGAGCGGGTGATGAAAGAAAGAATGGTGGCGATAGGGAAGGACGGCAGCCTGAGACTCTCAGGGGAGTACTGCCCAGACAACCAGAGACTGAGGGTACGACTAATCAGCGCCGAGGGCCTGTACCCTCTGTCCGTCGACTCCAAGATCATTAACTGCAGTGTCAGCATCTCACTGGCTCCGGGGAAAGTTCAGAAGCAACGCAGCACTGTCATCCGAAAGAGCCGCAATCCCATCTTCAACGAAGATTTCTTTTTCGATGGCATCTCAGAGGAAGACCTCGGCGTGCGTTCTCTTCGCTTCAAAGTGGTCAATAAAATGTCCACCCTTAAAAGAGACTATCTGCTGGGTAGCTGTGATTTGCCTCTTAGGACCCTTGTCACCTTAAACCATTAATTAGTTCATCCACATTTGTTATGAAGGTATTAAATTATTTCTCTGCATTTTTTGGGGGTAACTTGAGATGATTTTTTTTTTTTTCCTAATGAATAAATTATGGGAACCCTCAATTGCTTGACATTCAATTCTGTGTCATTTCTTGAACATGTCATTGATTATGTAAACACTGCAAATAATAGATGCTAGAGTTTGGATTCTCGAAGTCAAACATGAAGAGCTAATACAAAAAAAGGCAACGCTAAATGTCCTTCAAGTAATGCTCAAAACATAACTGAATGCCCGCTTTCATGTTTAGCTGTGCTAAAATGGCTGCCGCACCAGGTGTGAGAAAACAATAGTCTCATGTTTCTCCCTAAGCCTGTTGTTTTCAACCTGACCTTTTCCTCTGATTGAAAATATCACTAGAAAGCAGAAACCTTTGTATGGAGTCCCCCCCCCCCCCCACCCGCCTATTGATTATGCATTTAGTTTTTAACACAGTAAACAAACAAAGGTCTGTTCTAATGTCCAATAACTGCGAAAACAACCGAGTAGCCCAAATATGAGACGTTGCAAAAAGTTGCCCGACACTTCAATTAGACTCAACACAGATAGAACAGATACAAGCTGTATGCAATATCTTAGATTGGACTAACTATGGTCATTGCTATTATTAAGAAGCATTGTCCCTGGAACCTAATTTTAAATTAGGGATGTCATAAGAAATGTAACCACTTTGATTTTATTCAAGATTGCTATATTCAGAGAAATTGAGTGTGTCGCAGTGCTGCAATATACGCACGCATGGTACTGGATGTTTAAACAACTGAGCAGAGCCGCAGAGCCCAACGTACTCTTCAAACATATCCTGCAGCTTGCGGCAATAAAGTGCAGGCTTGGAAGCTGCCACCGCAGCTGCTGGTTAATGTTTAATAGGTCCCC